TATCAAGGAATAATTTGATGCTTCTTTCATCATTGGCTGCAGGGTTTATTAAAAGATGGCCACCTTCTAGTGCTATTATGCTGATACTGTTGAACAGAGTTCTTTGTTTTCTAGGAATTTGTTGCTCTAGCTAGGTAATTTGTTTAAGGGACATTTAGACAGCTGGTTTATTGTTCACACTTTCTTGGTCAAAAGAGTGAGTGTGTATGTGGAAAGGACATTGGGTTTGTAAATGTACAAACTTGTAAAGTTTAGCTTTGCTATTAATACTTAATATTAGCTGAGTTTTTTTGGGACAACTATCTTTCTCTGTCCGAGACTTGGGATAGGGATAATAATAGACCTTCCCATCTGTTGTGAGGATCAAATGAGATAATGGATGTGAAAATACCTTTTAAATTGAAAAATGCTAGGCAAGATAGTAACAATTATATGACTTTCATAATTAGATTAGGTAGGGCTTAGTGAGAATTTCCTACCATTTAAAAAAAAATAGGCCAGATGAGGTGGCTCATGCCTAGCACTCTGGCAGGCTGAGATCGGAGGATCACTTGAAGTCAGGAGTTCAAGACCAGCCTGAGCAAGAGTGAGACCCTCGGCTCTACTAAAAGTAGAAAAATTAGCTGGGTGTGGTGGTGCACATTGTCCCTCCCAGCTATTGTCCTAGCTACTTGGGAGGCTGAGGCAGGGGAATCTCTTGAGCTCAGGAGTTTGAGGTTGCTGTGAGCTAGGCTAGTGTCAAGACACTCTAGCCCAGGTGACAGCAAAACTCAGTCTCAAAAAAAAAAAAGGGACGATTCTTGAATTTGCATGTAATCCTTATTCAGGGGCCATGCTAATCTTCTCTGTATTGTTTCAATTTTTGTATATGTGCTGCTGAAGCGAGCACAGAATTTACTACCATTTTAAGAGGAAAATTTAAAATTTCACTTGAACTATATTTAGAAGAATTTTTTTTTCCAGAGCTAGGGTCTTGCTCTGTTTTCCAGGCTGGAGTGCAGTGGCTGGATCAAAGCTCATTGTAACCTCAAACTCCTGGGCCCAAGCTATCTTCCCATCTCTACCTCCCGAGTAGTTTGGACTATAATTGTGCCACTATGCTCAAATAATTTTTTAATTTTTATTTTTATTTTGTAAAGATGAGGGTCTCTTTATGTTGTCCAGGCTGGTCTTGAACTTCTGGTCTTAAGTGATCCTCCTGCCTTGGCCTCCCAAAGAACTGGGATTATAGGTGTGAGCTGCCATGCCCAGCCAAAGAAGACATTTTGATGAGTTTTACAAGAAGAGGCCAGAATGAGCTCCTGGTTAGAGAAACTATTGAGTGAATGTAACTACATAGTAGAAATGAGAATGGGGTGAAGCGGAGGTACAACTGTGAGGGCACGCCTCAGGGACTTAGAGAAGAGATTTGAGATTTGCATCTTGATCTAGTATTGATCCATAGAATAAATAAGAGAGATGCTCCTTGTTTAGAAAAACTTAGGACATTGGGTAATGTGTGGAAGAGAAGTGGTTGAAAGAATAGGGTTGGAAGGGGGAGGGGAGAAAAAAAAAAAAGAAAGAATAGGGTTGGAGTTAATAGCTGTAGCTTCCCTCATGAGGACACTCAAGTTGAATTCCCAGTTTTAAGTCTTCTAGGAATATGTACAGAGGTTAAAATAGGTTTTTTTTTCATTTGTAACTAACTCTTCCTATCCCCCAACAGTTAAGTGTGTCCTTTTTTGGCAGAACTTTCCAAGTGAGTCTTGTGATTATTGCACATGAATCCAGTGGTGGCTCTCAGGCAGGCACATTGACATATTTTCATTTAAAGAAGTGCAGGTGGCTGGCAAGTAGGGAATCTGCTTCTACAAACTAGAAAGCTTAATTTTATGTGGTCATATTCAAGTTATCTCTTCCCTGAAAATTGATTCTGTTTACAGTGTTTTAGTAGAGCAGATGATATTTTTCCTAAGTGGAGCATCAACCCAAATTTTCAATGTGTTTAATTATTGATGTATCTGAATGCTGCATTGTATTGGTTAAGGATTTTTCCATATGAAGACAGGTTTCTGTCTTTGAATTTTGGTACAAAACTAATTTTATTCATTTTTCTTTCAGGGGTATGTCAGTTTTTCTTTACTACAAATGACTGCATTATGTTGTTTGGATCATTGCCTTCTCTATTGAGTATTAGGGTAGAATAGTTGTTGTTTAGTACAGTTTCAAGTCTGCATTTTATTTGTTTGTAAGAGTGCATTTACGGCTGGGCGCTGTGGCTCATGCCTGTAATCCTACCACTCTGGGAGGCCGAGGTGGGTGGATTGCTCAAGGTCAGGAGTTTGAAACCAGCCTGAGCAAGAGCGAGACCCCGTCTCTACTAAAAAAATAGAAAGAAATTAATTGGCCAACTAAAAATATATAGAAAAAAAAATTAGCCAGGCATGGTGGCACATGCCTGTAGTCCTAGCTACTTGGGAGGCTGAGGCAGGCGGATTGCTTGAGCCCCCAAGAATTTGAGGTTGCTGTGAGCTACGCTGACGCCATGGTACTCTAGCCTGGGCAACAGAGACTCTGTCTCAAAAAAAAAAACAACAAAAAGTAAGGAGATTTTTTTTTTCCTTCTATTTCTGAGCATCTGCATTTTGTAAGGAGATGGGTTTTCATAGGCCCCAGTCAGAATCAGTCTGAATCACTTTATCACAATAACTTCATATAGAATAATGTCAACTGATATTTGAGTAATTCTTTCTTTGTAAAGTATTTTTATGTGATTTAGAATTTTTCTTTTTACTAATCTGTTTCTTAAACTAAACAGGTAGCTTTTTGGGGGTAGGAATGTGTTTTTTCCTCATCTTTTTACTCACTTTATTTAGCACAAAGCTAGGAATAATGATAATATTAGCTGACATTGTGCCATCTCCTAGGCATTGTGCCAAGAGCAATGTTTGTTTTAATCTTCATTATCCCCATTTTATAGAAGAGAAAACCGAGTCTCAGAGAAAGGAAGTAATTGCGCAGCCTCACAGTGTATGAAGGGATGCAGCTGTGATTAGAACCCAAGCAAGAGCCTGCATATTTAACCCCTACATTATATTTTCTCAGAAAATTAATGAATGAATATATAGGCATATATAAAATATATTGTCTATCTTATTTGAGCCTTAAAACTCTGACATAGATATTATGCTTTCCTTATCTATTCTATAGGTGAGGAAAAGTCAAGTGAATTAATAATATAGATCATCTGTTTGCTGAGTGGTAGAATCTGGACCTGGAATCCCAGGTCTCCTGATGTCAAATCCCTATTTTTTCCCCCTCTATCATACTTTTAGCTATTGGTTAGAGCTTCACATCTATTTTCGTAGGAATGCACAGTAATCTTTTTGGTATGGAAAATAGGTTCTTTAATTTAGACTAACTAAAGAAAAGAGGCAGCCTTAAAAATCTTTTTTTTTTTTTTTTTTTTCGAGACAGAGTCTCACTTTGTTGCCCAGGCTAGAGTGAGTGCCGTAGCATCAGCCTAGCTCACAGCAACCTCAAACTCCTGGGCTCAAGCGATCCTACTGCCTCAGCCTCCCGAGTAGCTGGGACTACAGGCATGCGCCACCATGCCTGGCTAATTTTTTGTATATATATTTTTAGTTGGTCAATTAATTTATTTCTATTTTTGGTAGAGACGGGGTCTCGCTCAGGCTGGTTTCGAACTCCGGACCTTGAGCAATCCGCCCGCTTCAGCCTCCCAAAATGCTAGGATTGCAGGCGTGAGCCACTACGCCCGGCCTAGCCTTAAAAATCTTTATGTATGCTTTTATTTTTCAAATCTAAGGAACAAAATTCACTGGTAGTTAGACTGAGAGCTACTTGAGGGTAGACAGGACAAGTGTGTGTGTGTGTGTGTGTGTGTGAGAGAGAGAGAGAGAGAGAGAGAATGTGAGTGTGTGATCTCCATTTTCCTGGTAACTGGCATAGAGAGTATTTTCCATAAAGGTCGCTGAGGGAATGCATGATTGAAAAAGTCAATGCTTCCCCTGGATGTTCACAAAGGAAAGAAAAAAAAAAGAAAAAGAAAAAGTCAATGCTGAGTCTAGGATCATTAGAGAGTTGATGATATTAAAATTGCTAGTTTACTTTTATATCCTTTGCTTTCTCCTGATTGCTTCATTCTTGGTCATTATTTGAGTATGTTTGAGAATTACAGTAATACTAATTATAGTGGCATTTAATATTGTTGAGCCAGTGTAAGGTAATTGTCTATAACAGAGCCTTCATATGAGAGAGGGATAATGTCTAAGCATTTTGTAACACTTGAGGAAGCAATTTTTCTGACGTCTGGGTGCACTTAATTCTATTGGACTCTTTTTGATTGCCTTGTCAGATTTATTTTGTATTTCTGTAAAGAAGATATGACAGTGGCAAATTCGTTTTTCAGTATTTTTTTTGCTTAAGTGTGCATTTTAAATAAAGAAATTGAAGTGATACTATATTCTGTGACTTTTCTGCACTTAAATATTGGCATTAAAATAACAGCATTATTTTAATATTATTAGAAAATGTATAAACTTTGGAATTTCATGGAGCTGGAAGAGCTCATCATTTGCTCCAGCCTCTCAAATTACAGATGAAGAACAGAAGCCCAAAGAAATGAATTGATTTGTTAAAGGTTATATAGTTTGAAAATGGAGAACCTGGGACTAGAACCTAGGTTTCCTTGTATTTACCATAGCACACTCTTTTTCCTTTGAAAATTCTTTTTTTTTTTTTTATAAATGTAAAGTAAATGTTTATTATTGGAGAAAAGAAAAATGTATACTAGAAAGTTTAGATTCTTTCTCCTCATGCATTTCTTTTAGAATAAAGTTCCAGATATCAACTATGAAGATATTTACAAGGATAAATTTTTTTCATCACATGACCATTTACTGTGTGGTGGACATTTTTTCATAGAAGCCATATACTGTAAACTAAATATATTCTTATAGTTTAGAAGAAGCTTAGAGCAATAATGTATTAACAAAGAAGATGGTATATTTTACTGCAAGATATTATAAAAGTGATACAATTCTGTGGCTCTTAAATGTTTAATTACTTGATTTGAACAAAGGAATGAACAACAACCAAAAAAAAGACACTCAGTAAAATCATCAAGACAGGGCTGGCTTTAAGATTTTTTTATTCGATCCTTTCTACTTTCACATCATCTCCAATGAGCTGATACACGTAAGTGACCACTGTAGAAACCTGGATATCCATTAACACAAATGATGGAATAATGTTTGTTTCCAAGGCATTATATGCTCCAGTGGCAGAACCTGGGTTAATGTAGAATTTATTTTCATGCTCAAATGCTTCAAATTTGTGTGTGTGTCCTGAGATAAGAATGTCCACATCAAACTGCCCCTGCAACAGGGCTAAGCTGGCCATATCTCCCCATGGAATAACTTGATATCCATGGATCAAACCAATTTTGAACTGTCCAACAGTCACAACTTTCTCTTCTGGATAATTCAGATTCTCATCAAAATCTCCTCTCACAATATGAACATCACCAGCCAGAGTCTTGAGATAGTCATAACTCTCTTTGGTGCAAAGGTTTCCTGTGCAGAGAATGTGCTGAATCTTTCCTGGCACCAGAAGTTTTTTGAATTTAGCTGGCAAACTGTTGCACTGGTGTGGGATGTGCAGATCTCCTAATACCAACACCAATTTGAGGAGTGTCCTTGCCCAAATTCCACACTTTGACAAATCAGGTTGGATATAGATCATATAGAGTCCATCCTGTCACGGGGCTCTGCTCAGTCACCACAACCGCCGCTGCCCTCTTCCTCAGGCTCCTCTGAAAATTATTTTCTTAAAGGTGCTGTCACATGGCCAAAGTCATAGGCTCAGATTTTTTGGCTCATCTGTCCTGTGAACATGTATCATATCCTTGTTATTTTATAAGAAAAGGATATTATAGGACTTTTGATAGGAACATGTCAACAGTAACAGATCAAGGGTTTAGTTCCGTTAATAGCCTCTTCCCTGGCCCTTGAGAAGAAGCCAGTTTGCTTCATTTGGCTTCTAGGCAATATCACATCCAAATGCAGTCATGTCACAGCCTTGGTTTTCCAGCTGCCCTGCTCTGCGTTATTTTTGTGTTCGATTATAGTTCAAAATATTTGAGAATTCCTAAGTCCCTCTTCTTATTTTAGTCTCAGATGGTTATGTTCAGATAAATTACCCCTCATTTAAGAATGTTATAATTGATTCTGTTGTTTCAGATTGCAGATTTGAGTGTCAGGTAGTAATCTACATATTACTATATCTTTTAAGAATATATTGTTTTAATATGAAAGCTGTAGGAGATAAAAAATTACAATCCTGGGCCTTCTCTGTCACTTGGCACATGTCAATCCAACTCTTTTCTCATTTTATGTCTATGAGCTGCACATGAATGTATCCTCTCCAATCTCGAAGGTACTACCAATAACTAGTAGATTATTAGGCCCCTGAAATTTGTCTCACTCAGTTTCCTTGCAGATTTTACAAGTGTGGAGGGTATATAGTTAGAATACAGGGTAGCTGTTGGAAGAAACCCAAACATACAGTGGCTCAAACAAGATAGATGTTTATCTCTTATATAACAGTCCCATGGTAGGTCTGTTATGATCACAGTGGTCAGAGGTTCTGCTCCATGAAATCATCCAGAGTTCTAGGTTCGTTCTATCTCATTGCTGTCCTAGACTATGCATGCTCAAAGACAGCTTATTAACACATACACCTTGAGATGAGTCAAGAAGGGAGAAGAGAGAGTATAGGGCACACAGTTGCTTTTGGAAAAAAGATGAGCTGGAAGTTGTATAAATCAATTTACCCGGCATTTCCTTCATTATCTTTAGAAACATGGCTTACCTGGTTGTAAATATCACTGAGAAATGTAGTTTCCAGCTGGGTTGCATGTGTCCAGTTAAATCTTGGCAGAGGGTGAGGGTCAGGGAGTATCAGTACTAAAAGGCAGAAGGGGGAAAATGGATACTATTAATATTAGTGGTCTCTTCCATAGCTAGAAGGTAAAAATAATAAGACTCTTCCTTCATCCATTATCTTTTAAAATTCTCACCACAACCTCTGAGGTAGGTGGTATTATAACTATTTTGCTAACTGAGAAACTGATTTTGAGATATTAAATGCCTGGTTTGAAGTCACAGGCTGGCTTAAAACTGACCTCATTATCTTCCCCAAACGTTCTCTTCATGTTTCTTATCTCAGTGAATGACACCACCATTTTCTCAGTCACCCAAGCTGGAAATTTGGGATTTCCTTATCTTCTCATAGGCCTTTAATCACTTAGCTGTGTAGATATTATCACTTTAACATTTCTCAAATCTGTGCCTTTCTGTCCATCCCCCATAGCTGTTACCTTACCTCAGACTCTGAGCAGCTCTTGTCTGGACAACAGCCTCCATTCTTGGATCTGTTGCCAGGGTCACCTCCAGCGACTTCCTCTTCTGAGCCCAACCCTGCCAAACTACTTGCAGTCCCCAAGACTTACCATATGCTGTTATACTGTCAAATTTTTATTCATGTTGTTTCTTCTACTCAAATTGTCCTCTTCCCCTCTCAACTTGACAAATGTAGCCTTATTTTATCTTTAAAAGTATAGCACTGGCTGGGTGTGGTGGTTCACGCTTATAATCCTAGCATTCTGGGAGGCCAAGATGGGAGGATCGCTTGAGGTCAGGAGTTTGAGACCAGCCTGAGCAAGAGCGAGACCCTGTCTCCACTAAAAATAGAAAGAAATTAGCCAGACAACTAAACATATATGGAAAAAATTAGCCGGGCATGGTGGCACATGCCTGTAGTCTCAGCTACTCGGGAGGCTGAGGCAGTAGGATTGCTTGAGCCCAGAAGTTTGAGGTTGCTGTGAGCTAGCTGACACCACAGCACTCTAGTTTGGGCAACAGAGTGAGACTCTGTCTCAAAAAAAAGTCTAGCACCAACATCACTTCTTCTGTAAAGCTGTTGCTTTCTTTTCCAGTTAGAATTGACTGTTTTCTCTTTATGCTTGTTCTGTGTTGATGATTGTCATAGCACCTGTAACACTTTATTGTAATACTTTATGTATCTTGCTTTTATCATTGGTACTCAATACTGTGCCTAATATTGAGCATCTACTTAATAATTGCTTGAATGAGTAGAGTATGTGACAGACTGGTACTTGAATTCAAATCCTGTGTTTTTCTTATCATGATGACTCCTCCTGTGTAAGTGTGTACGTATTTTTCAGGAGTTGCTTCCCAACACCAAATTTGGAGATCTGAACTTCCAGGAGCTCTTTTCTTTGGCAGTCAAGAGTAACCCTGGTTGAAAAGGGCTATTTCAACAAATGAGTGCCTTTGTGGCATCATCATTGCCCTGTCACGTGTTTAGAATTCCCATACACAGTTTAGTTGACATTTATAAAAGTCCAACTCTTTGACCTTAGAATTATCAAACTTGTGGCAAAATTATTTTTCCATTTGGATTTTGGGGATGTGCTTTACCTTTTTATGTAGGTGCTGCTAAAACTATTGTCTATAACTTATAAAACAGATGTTGGATACTTGGCTTTACTTTTTATTGATTACATAAAAGGACAGAAGAAGTTTGCTTTATATTTTGGAGGAGAGGCAGGCAAATTAGAAAAAAATACATCCCGGGCGACTTCTGGGGCCCCCTCTCTTGGGGCCCCAGGACCTCGTCCATAAAAAATAAAAAATAAAAAAATAAAAAAAAAAAATTAAAAAAAAAATAAAATAAAAAAAAGAAAAAAATACATCCCCTTGAAGACTTGAAGATAGTTTTTATTCTTAAGTTTATGTACAAAGTACATACATGAAAGTGGAAAAGGAATAACTTCAATTTATGATAGGCACAGTTTAGGGAAACACGCTTACATCTCAGTGATGAGTGTAAATTCAGCTTGGCTATTATCATTTCTGATCACTAAAGCTCACTTATTGTGGCTTTAAACCATCTGTTTTGGTGTTAATCCTTGAAGACTCAGTTGGTGGATGTTAATGTGATAAAAGGTAATAAAGCTTGAAATATGGCAGTCATTTGGTCTGGTTTACTTTTCAACTAATTGTATGCAAACTTAAGTGTGTTTGGGAAAAAGGAAAGGGAAGAATTAATGCTGTAGTCAACTATTTTGATCTCAGCTTGAACCCGGCACACCTGTCACTGGCTTGTGGAAGTTTTCCTCCATAATTAAGAGCTTCTCTCTCATGTTATTACTTAATTGGATGCCACGAGAGCCTGGTGAAACCGTGGAATCCTCTTAATTGCATACCAACCTTTAAAACAAATCACCAATGTTTAATGTGGTATTGTTTTTATAAGCCTTCCCTGGAAACAGTGTAGATTGCTTCAAGTCCAAAAGGAAATGTATTCCCTGTGTTTTAGAGCATTGAGGATTCTGCTGTTTATGAAAGTCTTATAAATACTTTGAAACATCCTCCTTGAAGAGTTGAGGAACATAATAATGTTTACACAATGCTTTACAATTTGACTAAGTGCTTTCCCTTTCTTTATCTTGTTTTAATTCCTATAATAGCTCTAAGAAAGGTATTATAATTATGTTTCCCATTTTATAGGTGAGGAAACAGAGTCAGAAAGGTGACTTGCCCAGCATTATACAATTCTTGTGGCTACTGATGTAAACCCTAAACCCTACCTTCTTGTTACATCATGCTATTTCAGTGAACATAAATTGCATGTGTAGAAATAGTTTAGTGAGTTAGTTTTTCCTTTAACTTGTTTTGTCATAAGGTAGTCTCAATTTAGCTTACTGTGTTTGGTACTTTTCTTTTTGAGCTTTCAACCCTTATACATATAGTGGAAAGAGGCAGCCTGGTAGTAGGTGAAGAAGCCAAGGAGCTGGTGAATGACAGCATTGCCCCATTCCATGCCTTGGTCATGACTGTATCTAGCTGAAACATCCTTCTGTAAGGTTGTCTGGGTTTTGTGGTTCTGCTGCTTTGTGGATAGGTCCTTTACAGTGTATTTAAGTGCTGAGCAGTTATGACAGCTGGTCTGAATGAGCTTCTGTGGCAATCACCTCCATTGAGGCCCCAGTGCCTATTTTCCTCTCCTACTATTAGGACCTAGTAGTGGAAAGAGCTTTTGACAGGGAACCAGGAAAACGTAATTCTATAGTTGTAGTTGGGTGATTTGTTAGCTGACCTATTCTCTTTAGGACTAAGTTTGCCCAAACCACCTCTATGAAGACTTACAGAAGTCTTTGTGGCCTTAATGCCTTTTTTTTTTTGAGACAGAGTCTTGCTTTTTTGCCCAGGCTAGAGTGAGTGCTGTGGCGTCAGCCTAGCTCACAGCAACCTCAAACTCCTGGGCTCAAGCAATCCTGCTGCCTCAGCCTCCCGAGTAGCTGGGACTACAGGCATGCACCACCATGCCTGGCTAATTTTTTCTATATATGTTAGTTGGCCAATTAATTTCTTTCTATTTATAGTAGAGACGGGGGTCTCACTCTTGCTCAGGCTGGTTTTGAACTCCTGACCTCGAGCAATCCACCTGCCTCGGCCTCCCAGAGTGCTAGGATTACAGGCGTGAGCCATCGCCCCCAGCCCTTAATGCAATAACCTGTTCACGTATTCGCTGTGTAGTAATCACATTGTTCTGCAAATTTTGTGTCTTTCATTCCCACTAGAACTATACATCTAACCCTTTTTTTCTACCAGACTTTCTGTACTTGAGAATAATTGACCCAACTGTATATTCTGTGAGAGCACAACATAGACATTTGTCGTAGACATTTGTAGACATTTGTACTTGTCGTAGACATTAGTAGACATTTGTAGCTTACGTCTTTAGCTTCCCCCTTATCTCAGCAATGGCGTCAGATGTTAGTTTTAGAAACCACATCTCCCCGCTACTTTGTCCCATGTGGTTTGGGTGGGAATTTCTTGGCTCTGGTGTTATGTGAACCAGGCCCAACCTAACCAGGGCATCACATTACTCTGGCCACAGTGATTGGTTTAGGTGTAAATATATGTTTTAAGCTTGTCTAAACCAAATGTTCAAGACTTGCAGGAGCCACTGCAGAAGACCTCCCAGTCCTGCTAGACTAGAAGGGTGTATGGCTGGAGCTGCTACAGCTATTTTGCTACCATAAGAAGAAAGAGTCTTCTGTCATAATAGAACCAACATTGAGGAAGTGAGGCTAAAGAGGTGGAGAAGGTGACTTTCAGCTCTAAATTGAGGCTTCCCCACTACCCTAATCCTGGGCTTCAGTTAATTAAGTCAGTAATTAGGCTTTTTGCTTAAACTAGTTTGGGATCAGTTTTCTGTCATTTACAAGTGAAAGAGTCCTAACTGATTTCTTTTCTGCATCTAGTGTAGTTCATGGCCTAGAATTTGTTAAATGCATAAATGAATGAACTCTATGAACTCTTCTTTCTTAATCTTAGTTTCTTTTTTTTTTTTGAGACAGAGTCTTGCTTTGTTGCCTGGGCTAGCATGAGTGCCGTGGCGTCAGCCTAGCTCACAGGAACCTCAAACTCCTGGGCTCAAGCGATCCTGCTGCCTCAGCCTCTGGAGTAGCTGGAACTATAGCCATGTGCCACCATGCCTGGCTAATTTTTTTTTCTATATATATTAGTTGGCCAATTAATTTCTTTCTTTTTTTTTTTTTGAGACAGAGTCTCGCTTTGTTGCCCAGGCTAGAGTGAGTGCCGTGGTGCCAGCCTAGCTCACAGCAACCTCAAACTCCTGGGCTCAAGCAATCTTCCTGCCTCACCCTCCCGAGTAGCTGGGACTACAGGCATGCACCACCATGCCTGGCTAATTTTTTTTTCTATATACATTAGTTGGCCAATTAATTTCTTTCTATGTATAGTAGAGATGGGGTCTCGCTCTTGCTCAGACTGGTTTCGAACTCCTGACCTCAAGCAATCCACCCGCCTCGGCCTCCCAGAGTGCTAGGATTACAGGAGTGAGCCACCGTGCCCAGCGAGTCTTAGTTTCTTTTACTATAAATAGAAATAATAATTTCTGCTTGCCTG